TAAGGTATCAATCTAAAATCTCCTAGTAGCTCAGTATGTAACAAAACGAAGCATTCAAATTTCATGATGCAAAAGTAAAAACCAAAAAGGAATATTTTTAAATGCTAATACGTAAAGCCATACTAGTATGTGGGTTTGCATTGGTGCTTATAGTTAGGTTTAAATCACTCTACCAGGCTGAGATCAGGCTCCAGCTTTAAGTCCAAACCAAGGTTTTCGACGGAATTTTGGTATTACTCTTAATTGACTGATAGTGGAGATAGTGAAAGTAACTGTTTATAGGCCTGCTTATAACTAAAGAACAATTCTGGTTTACATACGTCTTGATCACTTTGCATCGAGGCTGCGAGAGGTAGGCCATCAATAACACGGCCTATCATTGTCATCAAAACCATCCTGATAAAATTGAGTCGCCCTGTCTAGTGGAGCTGCGCTGGAAATATAACAGTTGGTTAGCACGATTCTGCAATTTATACACTTTTTTCTTGTGTACACGTGGATTGCGCTTGCGTATTACATTGCTTTGCGTTACCGCTGAGTTCACTGCAGTCGTACTTTAAAAGATGGACCTTCTTCTCGTGAGTCTGAGTTTTATAAATGTGGGTTGTTTTTTGGTGACGTTGTTGTACATAATGAGAAGATACATACCTTTCTGGTTGTCTGATCTGTTTGAATGGGGAAAGACGAAGTCAAATTGGGATCAGAGTCGCTGGAACAGATTTCTTCACGTCCCAAACAGGTGATGGTCACCGGTATTGTCGGTATGTGATAGTCACGTGATACTCTAAAAAATAGTAACTGTAGCAACGTCATCAATGATGATCCTTACCTGAGGATGTGTCAACTGCTGAATCGTGGAAGTTTGGTTACTGGTGCAAAGGTTTTCACAGATGGAAGTGGCCGTGATAATTGGGACTCTAAGATGGGGGGTAGGGCCGGTTAAGGAACAGAGAGCTCAAGGTGAAGGGGGGAGGGGGGATTTCCTTGGAGTTCTCGGTGGGTGTGCCATCTTGCTCTTTAAATCCTGACCTTATTTCAGATAAAGGCTTTCCATATGTGACATCCATTTTCAGACATGGCTTCTACTAATCCTGTAGTAATAATATGTCTAAAAAAACTTCACACCAGTCCCTATTAAGTCAAGAATTGGTAAGTTTTACACAGAAAATTGGTGTGACTGGTGTGTTTTGGTTACATATCTTCACCTGTTATTGATATGGAAATGAAAAGACAAATTTAATGTGTTTCTATGATGATGTGGTTTCCTTGAAAACCAAACCCAATTTTTTAAAGACCACGATAGTCGAAAGCACATAATCAATTTTTTTTTCAATTTGACATGAAATTATTTCAAATTTTCCAGTTTCAATACAGTCAAAAGAAATCTTATTTGGACTGAATTTTGTTTTTCAGCTGGTTCACTCATTTTTACATTGTTGGAAGTTCTCTATCATGCGCACTTTTATGGATGTTGATTATTCATTGTTTCCACATCAAGAGTCCAATCACAGAGTATTTTCCTCAAATACTGGACTTACATTACACTCCATGTGTTAATTACTTTACTGTTTTGGTATCCCTTCTTCTTCTTTTGGTGCAGTGTTGTCGCAGACTGTTTGAATGTTTATTTATCAGTGTATTTACAGGCAAGATTCACTTCTCACACTATTTGGTGGGATTATTTTATTATGTTTTGGATGCAATTGCACTTGCTTCACCACTTCTTGGGAAAAAGAAAATGGACAAAGGTAAATTTGTACAACTTTATTTCTATGAAATATTTGTTAGGGAACTGGCCTGGATGAACCAAATTTTAAGACATTTTTTGCAAAGTGAACATTTAAAAGCATTTAAAATCTGTCAAAGGAACTGTAATTTATTTAAGGCCTTAGCAAATTTGATAACCAAACAAGTTATACTACCCATACGAAACTTGACCATTTCAGTGACATTTGCAGTAATATTCAATGCACTATCCAGCTTGTGTGTAGATATTTTGTCTCTTTTTTTCAAATCTGCAGCCAGGTCAGGAAGGACATCTGGTACAATCATCTTTGCCAAAAAATGAGACTAAATAGTAATTGTCTCTCTCCAAATAACTGCCTCAATTTCATGTTGTCCCAGGCAAAAAATGGAAATTCTTTTAAGTATGCATTAAGGAGAACACTTTCTGATTCTGTTTAATTCTGTGGTTTATTTTTCAAGATTGGTGTAGCTTGTGCAGAGAAATGCTGTCAGGTTTGCAAAATTTCAGTGGTATCCAGTGGCTGGGAATAGTTGTATTTCTTTGGGCAAGCTGGCATCAGTGGAACTGTCATGTCATACTGGCAAAGTTACGACACTCTGCATATGGGAAAACGGTCAAAGTGTACAAAATTCCTTATGGTGACTGGTTTGATCATGTCTCCAGTCCTCACTACCTGGCAGAAATTGTAATCTACTTTGCTTTCTTCCTGATACAAAAAGGTCACAATGTTTATGTTGGAATGATTTTGCTATTTACTGTGCAGAACCTTTCACTTGGAGCTACAGTGACTCATAGTTGGTATAAAAACAAATTCAAGGAGTATCCCCAAAATCGTTACAAGATATTTCCATTTCTCTACTAGGGAACTAGAGGCAGAGTGGTCAATCTTTGTGTGACTGAGTTCTGTATCACACAATTGGATAATATTCAACATCTCTATTGGATTTATAATGGTAATAGGACCAAGTGGAGTCAATTAACAAAATCGAACGAGCGTGAAGCAGAAGTCTGATTTGTTAATCACAAATATGATTACAGACAGAATTGGACAAGAAGAAGTTCTGTTATCAATTAGTCATAACCATTTCAATTTCAGAAAAAACAAATGCACCTAGAACAAATATCTCCAGTGGAGACAATGTCTTTTGTTTAAAATTCCTCCATTTTGGAAATTCCTCAGGTTTTCTTCGGATAAGTGGTTGTTACTATGGTTATTATGATCATTTCTGTGATTGGTGGATTAGCTGAGTGGACTTAGTATGATTTGCTGCTTCAAATGTCTGATTACACATGTCAGATTTCAGCCAACTGTCCGATTACACTTTCCTTTACAACAGTACAGAATGATTGGTGAAAAATGAAGCTATGGATGCACCAATAATGTTTAAGGAATTTGTAATGGTTATGATTAGCTCTGAAATCACTGGTGATCCTTGGTATCTGATTAATTCTCAATGTGATTTATGAATAACTTAGTCATATATTTTTTGCTCCAAATCACATCTTTTTCCCAGCAAGTGAGAATGTTAGTTTCTGGTTAGGACCAAATCCTGTATTTATACAAGGAAATTGAGCTATTTCAAAATAGATGTAATAAAATGGCCACTGTTGTTTGATTTTTGAAGTCATATGTATGATTACTGATCAAGTTGCACTAAATACAAGTTTAAATACCATTGGTGACAGGGGGTGATTTAGTCTGGAAAAGCTCACAGCATGATTTTCCTTACAATGTCTGATGATAGTGGGCAGAACAAGAAAAAAATGTTTCAGGGAATGAGTTAAATGTACAGTAGACTGAAATTAGCAAATTTATATTCTGAACTACACTTATATGAGATATATATCTATATATATACCGTATATATATATATATCACTTACCTGATATATATATATATATATCGTGTTTGAATTGTTGCTTATTGAAGTTTAGGTCTTTGTAAATTTAGCCAGTAAGATTCACTAAAATTTGCATCACATTATCTGCCAATTTATCTTTTCAACTTGGAATATTTCCAATTGTGGATTTGATTAACCATGTCACCATGCATAACATTGGTGGATTTCTTTCCAACTTCCAATTTGAAATAATGTAATTGTGTAATTTAATTCTTTTAGGCCATGGGTGGTGGTCAACAAGGATAAGTGGTGCTGTGCCTTTAGGACCACAAAATTTTGTTTAGCCTCAAGTATGGAACAGTTGTTGTGGCAAGTCTACCATTGCCTTTCTGTGCTTTGAACTATGCTAGCAGTCTCTGGGTTTGATGAGGGGCTCTTTTGGCAAGTGCTAGGTCCTATTAGTCACCACCTTTGAGACATAATTACTAGCCTCTTTGCTCATGCACCTTGGAAATGCTTATCTTTTAGACAGGAAGAAGAATAGCTAAGGGAAACTCTCTGAGCAGTGGCCTCTTTTCATCATTTAACTACAACTCTGGATCTTTTAACCATCCCAGTTACAACTTTAGCGCATGGAACAGTGTTACAAAAATAAGCTTTATTGCTTTTCAGTCTTCATCATTTCACCCAACCTTTAACTTAGTTCACTTTATACAATCATTGGTATTACCTTTTACTTAAAGTAATGATCCTTGAAAGCGTCAAAGGACAGAGGCAACCATCCAAAGATATCACTGGCCCCTGATACAAAGATAAACTTAAACAACTTTCAAGTATGTCAATGGAATAATATCATGTTATAAGAAAGTGTCATCAAAATTTTTTGGACACAAGTGATCCTGACCCATTATCTTATTACAATGGTAGTGGAAAAATATATATATTTACTTTGACAACTCCCTGAGGTGCATAATTTTCTTTGTATAGCCATTGATGACTAAAAGGTCAAATTCTGTTCTACTGAATTTTTACAATGCCTGACCCGCAGGCATTAGTGGTCATGAAATCCTGTTCATAAGCTCTCACCCTTTTAATTCAATGCAACAAGCCATGTGTCAGCACAATAAGAGGCATTTGGCCTAAATGAACCAAACCTGGAAATATTGTTTGTAAAATTAGTTTTGCAATAGGACTAATATATTTTTTGGCCTTGCATTATCCAAAAGGCAAATACAGCTTTAATGAATTACTTTTTACAAAGTGCTGTCCAACTTAACTCAACTCACAAATTTTGTACAAAAGGCAAAATATGTTGCTTGCAGCCACAACACCGATGACAAAATAACACAATTATGTAACACTGTAAGATTAATGAATGAGATGAGAACAATGATGCCTACATGTTCCAGAAACTAAAGAGAGTCCTTTCAAAATGAAAACAAAAAATTTACAAAAAAAAATGACTATTGCACTGTCTGCTAGAGCAATTAAGCAGTAAGCAGTGCAAAAATCAAGCAATTACTCATGAACATCAAAGTCCAAGACCAGAAGTTTTGTTTCTTCAGTTCCATTTCTGCTTCCAACAGCACAAACCAACTTCTTTTCATCACATTTCACTCTCCACACAACACCACCACTGCCACCACTGTCCAACTTTACTAGATCTCTGATATACTCCCCTGTCCGCAAGTCCCAAATTTTAACTGTGCCGTCATCAGAACTGGTGATAACGAAACGGCTGTTAAACTGAAGGCAAGTAACAGCACTCTGGTGTTTATTTGGGCCTGCCAGGGTCTGCAGGCACTGTCCAGAGGCAATATCCCAGATTTTGACCGTAGAATCAGCATTTCCTGAGACTAATGTGTTGTTTTTTAACTCCATGCCACTTGTTAAAGACTGGTGACCAATCAAGGTATGCAGGCATTGTCCAGTCTCTACATGCCATACTCGTATTGAAGTATCTAATGAGCCGCTCACAATGTAAACACCATCAAACTGTAGAGAATACACCCTGTTGGTGTGTCCTTGCAAAGTGTGTATACACTGCTCTGTTTCAGGGTCCCAAACTTTTACCAAAAAATCATATGCTCCACTGACCACACGTCTGCCATCATACTTCACACTATTAAAAAGAATAGTATATGAATTATAATAGGTAAATGTTAAGTTTAAATTTACTTGTATGCCTTCATAACCACCAAATATCTTGCTCATTCAATACGGATTAAAATTAGAATTTGAAGATGACAACTACTCAGAACATTGACCTCTGCAACTGAAATGTTTCAAAACAAAAGCAAGGGTCTGAAACAGGCAGAAAATTAATTCAATCCAAATGAAGTTCAAAAGGTAAGGTTTGAAAAGGTACATGTACATGTATATTTAAGTTTAGGTTTTGAACTACAGTATGAAAATCCCAGAGAATCTCAATTTGCAACCAGTATATCTTAAATTTGGTGCACTGGTAGAACTAAGGCATCCCAAATTGTAAACTATTTTGGGTAAATTATGAGCATTTTAACTAACATAGACAGTTAATTTTCATTGGACTTGGGTTCTGTATAAAATCTGGTGTGCCCAACAAGTCAAGGTCCTGCTGGTGGATTGTTTGAAAGGTACATGTACATGTATATTTCTGTTAAGTTTACTGAGTAAATTCTGATGTGGGAGTTAGAGGATCACTGCATACTCTGCACCAGCTGTGCATAGAAAAATATTTCAAGCAAGAATCCTTCTTCTATCCAACTCTCATTGTTGACACTTCACTAGAAAAACATTATCAGTATACACATGTTGTTCCACATGTCTGTATACAGATAGTTTCACTCACCATCTCACTGCAGCAAGGTGCCCAACCAACACATGAAGGCAGTTTCCAGAAGAAGTGTCCCACACTCTTAAAGTACCATCCCTTGAACCACTAACAACAGTGCTGTCATGCATGTCCATACAACGAACGGTAGATGAGTGTCCATACAGTGTGTGCATGCAGTAACCAGTGTCTGCATTCCAGACTTTCAGTGTGCGATCAGTAGAGCCGCTGACAATGATGTTGCCACTCAGCTGAGATGACCAAACACCCCCAGTGTGACCTACAAGAGTGCGTAGACACTTTCCAGATATTGCAGACCACACTTTAAGAGTTCCGTCATCAGAACCACTAACAATTTTGCTGCCGCAAAACTGAAGACAGGTGATGACATGGTCATCATGTCCTTTAAGGACTTTGGATGGACGCAGTGGGCCCATTCTCCAGTTCCAATACACGCGCTGCTTTGTCATGTAAAGTTTCTTGAAAGGGCTGTTAGCAGCTTTAGTATTTTGGTTTATCTGTTGTGCATTATTGGATCTACGCCTACCATTTTTCACAGGAGTTACTGGTTCTTCTTCAATATTAGCTTGCTTACATTTCTGCTTCCATAGCCTATGAAAAAAGACAGGGTATCACATCAGGCTGTAAATTCTAATGCATGTTGTCACAGAAATTCAGGTACCCAAATTTAAAAAGTGCAAGTGTGCTTCATAATCCAATTATGCAAGCTTGTGAGGTCAGCTAACCAATGCTTTGAGATGGAAAATTTTCCTCCACGTTTTACTGCAAACTTAATGACCAGTTTGGCTGTGTGTTTGGAGATTTTCAGGTTTTTCTTTTCCATTCTGACTGAGATACACTTTTAGGAGCTCTAAATGGAAAGCAAGTTTATCAAAGGTGATGGTCTTTTAAGCCTTCAACGCAATGAAAAGATCTTCTGAGGGAACAATACTACCATTCCCAAATGCAATCCAAATTATTGATGGAAAATGAGAAATTAATTTGCTGACAAAAGTGTGCTTTTCCTATTTTGGACCATTCTTTTGCCTGGTGAATATTAATGTTGGTGTACTGTAGATATGCCCTGAAGTTTTGTACAACAGATGATTTTGTTTCAAATCTGACAACTTTCAGTTGGAGGTGCAGTGTGTGTCCAAGTGACCTTAATCAAATGAATAACATCATCTATTCTTAAATTTTTCTGGGTCAAGTCTCAATGCAAAGTCTTAGGAAACATTGATGACACAAATTTATCAATAAAATGAAAATATGTCACACTTGGTCATGAAAGAAAAAACAAGGGCAAGGCACAGACGTGCCTTATCAGTTGAAGAGGACGATCACTGCTGTTTAATCACAGTCAGCTTGAATTTTTTGTCAACTTAAACATTAACTTTGACTTGATGTGTGACTTCATTATAGATATTCCTTGCAAGTTTCCCAGAGAAAGTTTTTGAAGAGCATACCCTTTCATGTGGCACTCTCCACCATCTTAGCAATTATTCAATGCAAGTTTTTCAAAAATATCTGTAATAATTCCTCTTAACACCCATAATACATATATGTTATTTGTTGGCTGGGAGGTCCGTATGGTGAAAAACTGTGACCGAGGTCAGCATTTTCAAGACAGAGCGACCGACCCTTAGCGACCGACCCTTAGCTGGTAAATAACATATTTATTGTTTTTAAACTTGATGAAATTCTTTCCGAAAGAACCCGAATGATGTAGGGCTGTTAATACGGCAAGATCTTCCATAAACTGAACAATTTTTGAGTGAGTAAATGGTAGTTAAAATAGAGGTGATGCAAATTAAAGAGAGATGCCTCAGCGAAACATTTTCATTTCCGTAACGATAAAGGTGATTTTAAAGGCTTCCAAACAAACTTTGAAACATTATTTTTACAAGTATCTGTCACAATCTGACACCTGTCAATTAGAGAGCGCGCAAGAAAAAAAAAGCGTAGGAACATTTGAAAAACATCAGAACTAGTTTGGCAAGGGCTGTCACGACAATGTTTTCTTCAAAATCAGTCAATGATCTAACGGAAAGTATTATTCACTCTCATCGACCATTCATTCATGTACGAAGATTTACCTCTGTTCATTAAGTAAACGGCGAGGAAAGTAATTGTGAGTAAATTGAATTTTTTTACTTTGAAGTTGTGAGAGTTTGCTCAATGGCGTGTGTGACTCTGGTCTTTCCTTCACAAAAACTAAATTCGAACGGCA